ATGCCTCCCATTTGTCTTTCTTGTGATGGATTTTGCATTAATTTAAGGCTTAATCAAATTGTTAATTAAGCATGACTAAGGCTCTAATGATATCTTAGTCTTCAAGTTAGTATGATTATTTTCCATGACGATTAGAAGAAAATAAAATAGAATTTGATAAATTCAGTAAAAAAATTCTTGGTCTAAAGTCAAATTGATTTTATTCAAATAATATAATTAATTTTTCATTTCCCCCAAGAAAGAGCTCCACAATGATACTTCCCGTCCGACCAGAGTTAAATATACACTAAATGTATAATTTAACAATTTATTAGTTAGGTGACGTCACTTATATACATGTAGTCACTCGTTATATATGACATTTACGAAAGAAAAAATTATTTATTGACACATAATATATATAAAGGGGATGATAAGGATGTGGTGGACTGTCCTAGATTCTCCAAAAACTCGCAAACCTTTATTTTGTATGAAATTGTATATGCAAATAAAACAAAGATTTCACTACCACCAAACTAAATAACCATATATATATATATATATAAGGCAAAATTAAATTAAAAATCCCCACAAATAATAGCTCCAAATAAAATTAAAACACAAAAAAAAAATACTGAACATGAAAAGCTCTTACAAACAAAAAACCCCCACAAGCCATTGAACACGTGAATCAGACAGGACTTCACGTTGATGTGAGTATTATAAAATGTAATTTCATGGTCTCGAGGAAAAAGAAAAGATATGATCAACAGATAGGATTGAATAACCGAGATTACTTCCTTTCACAATCATGAAATCCTCTTTACGATCTTTTTTTTAATGGTTATGTAAGTGTGGATTCAAACCGTGGTTGTGGGAGCATTTTGTGCTTTCCCACACCACTAAACCACCACTCCTTGGTACGATCTTATGATTGAAAAAATCGATATCTATAATTATAACTATTCGAGATCGTTACAGAAGTTAAAATTATCCTCACCAATTAATATGAGATCTTTCAATATATTTTGTCCTCACCCATATACATTTCGAAAAATACTTTTCACGAGGTCAATCATTCTAATACTACTCTACAGCGAACACGCATTAACTTAATTAGAAATCTTTTGGGATAGGCAAACGAAAAAGTAAATATATCTTCTTGATATGAATAACTCAAGTATTTTAAATTATCGTTAATTGTGTGTAGTCTCGTACTTACATAATCTTCGAATCCCTCTTATTTTGATGTGTTCGATTTATTTCTTTACTCCTATTGTCTAAGTGGTGTCTAGACAACCACTTCTTATCCGTACCACTTAGTACCATCGATCACTCTTCACTTTCATCGTACCTAGGGATATCATAGTAATTTTACAACATACACTTTATTATTCATTTATAAAATTTTACCTTGTACAAAAAAAAACATCCGTATTCCGCTAGATATTAAACAAAAATATTAAAAATTTAAAACCTTATCTTGCAGTCTAGTGGATAATTAAGTTTGTGTTCATTTTTTCTCTCTAATGAGTTAAAATCTTATATATTTGGGATTTTGGGTATGGGAATATGAGCGTGAATATTTTTTTTAAAAAAAGTGATTAAATTTAGCAAAAAAGGGTAAAAGTAAATGTATGTATATAGGAAGAGATGATGAGTGTGTGTATAGTTTTGGCTTTTAGGTGGAATGATTGGTGTTTGTTGGCTCAACAGAGGAGACAACCTTACCTTAGCATCAAACCCAATAGTGTAAGAATCTAAAACATCAGGAAGTGGCAAATCTCATCTACTAAGATTTGTATTCGGTAATCCCAAAAAATAGAACAAATATTATAAAAAAATAAGATAAAAATGACAACAACGAAACATTATAATTCGACAGCCGATTCATAAAAAGGCAAAACAGCCGAGCAGAATCCCATACACTTTATCTATCTATATATATATATATATATGTGGCCGTTGAAAATGCGGTTTGATTTTATCAAATAAGAACTAATATTGGGAAATAGTTACATGTACAATGAATGATGATGGAATTTGTTTTGATTTTTGTAACGTGGTTTTCTGAGTGGATATTCCATAATATCTTAGAACGCTGCTTTTATTCTTTAGAAAATACTTCGGATCATATATATCTATATATATATAATATGTGGGTTATTACGGTTAGATACTTCTATTTTTATTTGGATTTCAGATTTTTTGGTTTTAAGGATATAATAGCTATCGCTTTTATCACAGATTTAGTTTGAGTTCTATTCATTTCGGATTCCACTTAGTTTTTTATTAGAACGATATTTATTTTTAAAGAAAAAAAATATTTTTTCATTTGTTTTTTCGTTATTTTTGTTTTCAAAATATATTCAATTAATTTAATTTAATTTAATTTAAAAATTAAATCCAATTGATAACTAGATCAAATTTAGTTATGATTTATTCGGTTTGATTCGTATGGATAATCGATTTATATAAAACTTTTATTGAATATAGTATAAAATTTCCATTTTGTCAACTAAAAATAAATTCAACAAAAAAAAACTAAAAACAAATGAAATTAAAAAAAAATAGATTTTATGTGTAACTTCCAAAATCGTTAGGGAACATTGAAATTACCATCATCCATCAATACAAGCTTTTTTTTAAATTAAATTAAAAAAGTATGTTTTGTCCTCACCCACACATTCGTTGGAAGTACTTTCCAATATGTCATCCATTATGATACTATTCCATAGCGAACACGCTTAACTTTAAAAATCTCGTGGGTAGACAATAAAAAAAGATAGATGCATTTTATTATTATAGTAGTTCAATTAATTCTTTTAAGTTATTGTTAACTGTATAGTCTCATACTTACACAACCCTCGAATCCCCCTTATTTCGGTGCATGCATTCGATCTCATATCCTTCTTTTATTTAATGATCTCCGAAAAACCGCTCCTTATCCATTCCACTTGTATTGACGATCACTCATCACTTTCATCATAGTATGAGATATCACATTATAGATTTTGATGTTGAGTAAATTCTATTCAAGAATTTCTCTAGGATTGATCTAAGTTGATTATATAGTTTCAAATATATTATTAAACTTGTATAATATAAGAGTTAAAATTCTAAAATGTGGAAGCACCACACTTTCTATCTATGCCATTGTTTACATACACCAATTCTAAAATGTTACATAGACGTGTTAGGAAATAGTATCTGATACATAAGGTAAGAGTTAAAATCCGGAAAATATGAAAGAGAACATATTTATATCAATATTCATGTTGACAAAATCATACTCATCAAAAGGTTAAGCATACTTAATTATTATTAAACCTATAATCTAACGGTTAAACATTTCAGTTGGGTTTTCAAGCCACTATCTAAATTATATATATATATATATATATATATATATATTAAATTATTGGGTGTAAGAAAAAAAAAATCCATTTTCTGGTATAATTCATCTAGATTTAAGATTTGATCCTAATATTCGATTAGGAGTGACCATTTCGAGTTTTTGTTTGAGTTCAGTTATAGAAAAGTTTTAACCAACGATTTTTATAGAAATTTTGATTCGCTTCGATTTTATTTCGGTTTAGTTCGGTTCGAATTCAGTTTTTTATTGTAAAAAACTCGGTTTTTTTTTTAAAAAAAATCGATTGTTTCGATTATTTTTTTTAATAGATTCGTTGAATTCTGTTTCCATTTTTTCGAGGTTTAAAAATTATAATTGTTTGGTTTTTATATTGGATTTGATTTGATTACGGTTATATCTTACTCGATTCGATTCGGTTATTCGGCTGATAAATAAAATGAAAATATTCGTGGATGAGTTCCAAATCACAGTCTCCGAAAAATTTAGATTCAAAATCGATTACTTTCAAATTTTCGAAATACCGACCGTATCCAACCATATAAAATACAGCGAAAATATATTATATTGATTTTTATTTAATTATGTATTTATAAAAAAAAATGGGGTTTCATGGATCGGTGTTGAGTGCGTTCCACCGCAATAGAAGCATGCTCCAAAGCTGAAAGCCAAATCACACCGCAACTGAACACACGTGCTCCTCCTCTTCTTCTTCTTCTTCTTTTATTTTATTTTATTTTATTTTCCTTTATACGTAATTTCTCTATCTTTAGTATATTTAATAATAAAATATCATTGCTTTTTATATATGCTGTCACTAAATCAAATATGAAATATCATTCTTTATATCTTAATAATTGACTTAATGCTCTCTAAATTATTTATTTGATGATCATTAACTCATAAGCCAAGTGTCGCCCGGGAAAATTCATACGTGCTTCCTCCGCTGTTTCATTTATTGTAAAGATTAAGGAATCTTTGATTTTGTTTTAGATAATTTAGAGTATATATTATTATAATATGTACATTATATATATATATTATATATGTGGAATGGTGGGCATGTGTGAGCATGTTAGTGATCTAATTCAAGTGTGTTGTTCATACGTGAGATATCCACTTGCTTATTTCCCCCATATTCCATTTTTATCCTTCTCTAACATTTTCCTTTATTGCTCTCTTTTATTTTTCACCTTTATTAACTTTAATATTTTTCTCTTGATTTTATTTATGACTGTCATTTCATATCACTATAACTGATAATTGATCTTGAAAATATTTAATAAAGATATAAATTACGTTAATATTCATCCAAAATTGTGTATCCATAATTTGAAAACTGATAATTCTTATAATATATCTAACGTTTAAGTTATATTCTTTATTCTCCATAATCCCTATGAATTAAAAATTCGATGATTAAATCATAATGAAAATATTCTCGATAACCCGTCTCCCATAACTTTCTATATCTTTATAGAAATAAATTATGGAGTTTGTTAAATTTTGATAATTACGAAGAATGTTATTTTCAATTAGTTGAATATCATGGTCAAAGTATTCTAACCACTTTAAAAAAAATCTATTTATTAATTTCATAATGGAATCTTTTAAACTTTAAAGAATTTATGTACATTGCTAAATATTACTAAACTATAATGTGATCAAATGGAAATGAACCGTATTCTTAAAGCTCTTCTTTTAGCAGCTAATTCTTTTTATTTTCTTGGTGCTTCTTGCACAATATATATATATATATATATATATATATATAAGATTTGGCTTTTGAGTAAGAAAATCCTTTGTTCATACATAACGCCGACATGCTCGGAGCTGATTGACCCAATGCCCTAAATCAAAGATCAAAGATCAAGACAGTGATACGAATCGAGATGGAGAAGGAAAGGAGGAGAAGGAGGAGGAACTTACAAGCCGCCGATCATGACGGCGAACATGGTGGCAATGGCGAGCACGCCATTGGTGGAGTGGTGACGAACAAGGTAACCACCGTACCAAAGCAACAAGGCGTAACAACAGAAGACAACGAAGTAAGTTCCGCCTAATCCCATTCCTTTAGCCAAACCAATTTTGTATCCGATCTTCTGAGAAATTCTCAGAGCAGAGGAATAAGCTTGAAGAGCCCTAGATTCGCCGACGAATGCCAGCACGACCCTGATTTGCACCACTGTCTGTCATTTGAGATCGAATCAGAGAAAACCCAGATGAAGAAATGGAGAAATGATTGATGGGTTTTTTTTGTTTTGTGTTCGTTACCTGTTCGACGATATTCCCAGCTTGGGAAAGAGCATCTTGGCTCTTGTTAGAGAGCTTAGCCAGAGTAGCAGTGTGAATTCCTCCGATCACAGCTATTAATGGAACCACAGCCAGCGTCACGAGTGCTAATTGCCACACTGCGGTGAAACCCACCACGAATCCCGACACAAATGTCGCCATGTAATGGATGAAATTGCCCAGCTGTTGCAGAGAGAGAGAGAGAGAGAGAGAGAGAGAGAGAGTTCAAGCAGGTCAAGAACAGAGATGAGGTAGAGAGAGAGAGAGATGTGAAGGAAGAAAGCGAGTTACTTTCTCGCTGATGGCGTCTTGAACCATGACAGCTATATATATATATATATATATATATGAAGGATGTTTTTTTCATTTATAAAATTTTCTTAGTGATCAATGATTAGATCTTTTTCCTTTTTGTCAAAGAGTTTCTATTCGCATGATAAAACCCTAATTGTATGATTGTACGGACATGAGATGGCATTTTTGCTTTTATCCAAATATAATTGATGCCCAAATACACCCAATGCATTTATTATCTGTCTTCTTCTTTCATGCACCCATTTACAACGCCTCCTTTTTCCGTATGGAAGCTTTAACTCAAATTCAAATTTTAATTATATATATGTGTGTATATATTTTTGAGTTTCTAATAATTTTAATTTCTTTGGAAATTAAGAATAGTTTTGTTTGATATTTCTACATGATTTGAATCGTGTGAAAACACCCATTTCCATCCTTAGTTGTAAGAGTATTATCACCATTGGATTTTTTCAGAAATTTTAAAATTTATCTAATCGTTTTTTTTAAAAAAATTAACAACTTGTCGTATTATTTATCCAATTTTTTTTCAAAATATATTTAGCTTTTCTATCAAATATCAGCAGAAAAAATGTACTGTAGATAAAAAGTTTGAAATTGAGGTAACATATAGTTTTACTATCAATTGTTTCCAATTAAATTAAAAGATATTTATTATACAAATCGAAAATTTCTAAATCTAATCAAGACATGATATAATTGCTTTGCATGCGGTACAAAAGTTTGAAATTGAGGTAATAATCATACTATCAATTATTTCTGATGTAACAAAAGATATACTGGTATAAGAATGGATAATTATAATCTAATCACCGTGCCATAAGATGTGATTCGTATGCGACATATATAAAAGTTTGAAGTTTGAAATTGAGGTAACAATATAGTAGATCAAAGACAAAGATCTTATAATTAAAAAAAATAGAAAATTGCAATTAAATGGAGGGAAATTGACGTGTCAATCAAAAAAAGGGTTATAGAAATGGAGACAATGAAAATCAAATCAAAATTTGTAGGATGGGTGAGAAACAAGGGTTGGCCCTTTTGCAAATGGTGCACATGTGGTCAGTCTTACCCCTAATTTCCTCAATTATTATGTTATCTTGATTTTTTTCCCCCATACTTGGTATTTTTTTTCTAATAATCAACATATTATACGTATAAATGTTTGTTTGTGTGTATGAAATGTAATTTGTATGAAATGTAATTTGAGTTATATATGTAAATCGGGTTTTGGATTCCAAAAATTAAAATCAAGCGAATGATGGTTGTTGAGAAATATAAAAATGAAGGATCTCGTACGTACATACATACATACATACATACATACATACATACATACATACATACATACATACATACATACATACATACATACATACATACATACATACATACATACATATGTGCATACATACATACATACATACATACATACATACATACATACATACATACATACATACATACATACATACATACATACATACATACATACATACATACATACATACATACATACATACATACATACATACATACATACATACATACATACATACATACATACATACATACATACATACATACATATGTGATGGTGAAATATGGTGGGGTTGGGAGTTGTGACACAAGTCAAAGGAAACATAACAAGAACAAAAATCCAAAGACAACTTAGGTTCACACATTTCGTAGTGTTTGGAATCACAATGATTCAAAATAGCGTATGAAGATAAGTTTGCCCCCGGAAAAAGAAAAGAAAATAAAATAAGATGAAACTATATAGAAAGACATAATCTTTAACATTATCATAAAACAGAAACATATCATGACGACTTAAAATTGAATCATATTATTCAATAATCAATTGCTATGGTTTAAATGTTTTTCTATACGATTTTATAGAAACTGAAAAATATTGGATTCCCATATGACAGGCTTTGGAACATCACACTATTTTTTTAATTAAGGACAGCAAAATCTTTTCCTTTTAGGGTTTTCTTCGTCAAGCATTTGCATGTGAAAATGTTCAGATAATTTTATCTTCCGTCAAAATCAAACAGAAAAAATAAAAATAAAAATAAAAATAAAAATGGATTACAAGTAAGTCTACTAAAAGAATCGAAACTCTTGGACCCCAAAGTCCAAACCCTGCTTTTTCATACGAGTGAACCTTTTACCTACCCATCACTGCTTTCCATGATATATATATATATATACACACACACACATAAAACTTTGAAATTTCAAAACCTCGCTTATAACTCATTTTCATATAAAATTTACTGTTCCTTATGTGACGTACCACAATAATTTAAAATTAATATGCATATCTTTTTCGTTTTTAAAATTTTCCCATGTGCCCCAAGGGAGCGTATTGCATGAGAAAGTCAACAAATACACACATTTTATATGTCTGTGCATTTCTTTGCTTTGACACTTATGTGTGTATCGTTATATTTATATATTTTTTATGTTTAAATGCAAAAGATGTAAACTGTAAGAATATTGTTGAATTTCTCTCTCTTTTCTAAGGTTGCAATCTTAGAAATCAAAATATTCATATTCTGAGAGTGAAATCAATTCCATACTTAAAAACACTATCTACAAATGGAATTATTGATTATGTATATGAATTTATGACATAAATTTAAGGATTGACATTTATGAATTTATGATATAAATATCGTCATCCTATATACACTTCCGGTCCAATATTATTGTCTAGAACTCAACCTGAAATCAAGCTAAAGATTGTGAAATTTCATTAAAAACCAACATGTAAACCGTGCATTTAGTTTGTAATCATAATAATATAAATTACGAAAAGTATTAAGATATAGTATTCAGAATATATTGTATGCGTTACTTGTATTGAGACAAGGCGTGGCAACTTTTTATATTAGTACCCAGATTATAGAATAGTGCGTTGTTTCGGACTTGGGTTCCTCCTAAATTGGTACACATTTTTATATGATTTTTCGGCTTACAAATAAAGCAAAACATTTTTAATTGGGCTTTTTATTTTATTTACCTTTAGTGGCAAAAAGGTAATTATGGTGGACTCCACGTCAGCTTACGTCAACACAAGTCGGGTCGACGCATTGGGCTTATAAAAATATGCATTTGAATTGGGCCGACAATATTCATTTTCAGGCTCAAGAATTTTGCCTTTTGAGGGTTATTATAAACTATAAAATAAGTTATGTTGAGCCTAATGTGGGCTCCGTTTGAGGCCCAATAATAGACGGATTACTCCTCTCTTTTTTGCGTGTGGATTCCCAATTTAAGGGGCCGACTAGTTGCACCGTCGCCACCCGCAAACGGAATGGTTGCGATTTTCGGCAGTTGCAGATGATTGAAAAACTGACTGGTTGAACCGCAATCGTAACCAAACTTGTGTTTTTTTATCGTAGCTTCCAACTTACGTTTTGGTAGCGGTTTCCGGCGTTTTGACAAAAAAACTAAAATATTTTTATTAGAAATTATATAAAATATTAATATATATATATATTGGTGATAATTTTGTTTAGTGTTATGATTTGATATCATTTTTTAGTATCATATTTTTAATAAAAAAAATACAATAGTATAATTTTTAGGTTTAATAATGATTATTTTTAATAATTTTTATAATAAAATTATTTTTACTTGAAAATAAATTAAATTGATAATATTTATATTTTAAATTTATTATTTAATTATTATAAATTTAGTAAATAATTTTTATCAAATGATACGAAAAATTTAATTAAAACTATTACAAGAAATTATTTTTAAATAATATTTTTTTTGAAAATTTATATCAAAACGCAACCACAACTGTAATAAACCATTCACTTTTAACTGCACCCACCCACAATCGATACCAACAGCAACTTCTAAACCAGTCAGTATTAATCATTTATAATCGCTATCAAACGTTTTGAAAACGCTGCCACCCGCAACCGCAACGGCTGCGGTACAACCAGTCGAACCCTAAATGTGTGTATATATATATATATATATATTCTTTTTTTTTGTCTAAAAATATAATTATGTTTTTTTTATAATGGTTAGTTTTGAAAAAAAAATGTAATTATGTTGTGCCAAAGTGTAATTATGTGGTCCCCAAAAGAACGTGTAATCATGTTTTTATATATTCTATATATATATATATAGAGCGAGAGAGAGAATATAAATACGTTATTCAATTTTTAATCCATATTCATCTTATAAAATTATTATATGATCCTTGATAAATTAGTTGATTGATTTGGTGTAATTGATGTAATGACGATGTTAAGAAGAGTCATTGATATTTTTTTTAAATGTTATAGTTTATATATTTATCTAAATTGTTTTATAAGTGGTTTGTAAATACGTGATTTTGCCGAAGAATTATATAAAACATAAAAATAAGGTTTGTGCAAAACGTCGCCGTTTCAATGTTATTCCCTGCCTCGTGCGTGGAGAAAATCTTGAAGTGTTCTTGTCGTCCCACGTGGCATAGTGCTGTATGTGGCGTCAACTCTCCCTCCTCTCCTTTTCCCTCCATCTCTCTCTCTCTCTCTCTCTCTCTCTCTCTCTCTCTCTCTGTGGTAATGGCGAAGACCTATGCGTGGTGCTTCTCCCATTTCTCGTTTCATCTCGCGATTTCTCACGCTCGGTACGCGAATTCCTCTCCCTCCTTCGCGAACTGCCCCAGACTCTCGCCGTTTTCTCGCGCTCCGCCATCTCGTCCGCCATCGTTTGCCGTTAAGGCCTCGCATTCCGGTGGCTTCTCCGAGGATGACCTCTTCAGCTTCTTTCCCTGGTCCGATGGAAACAACGGTAATGGTTCTGAGTCTCCGATCCGTGAATTATCCTGTTGTTGAATTAAGTTGAGTTTATGATTTTGATCTCCTCGGGATTAGGGTCTCAGTTTAGGTTATGATTTTCCCCCGATCCGTCGGTTCTACATGCGATTCGAGTGGGAGATACGTGATTTCATCGAATTGTGTCAATTTTCCCTCACAATAGAATTCGAGATTGGTTACGCTGAGGATTTGGGATGATCTGTATAATTTGGCTGATTTCGTATACATTGCTTCTCTATGGAATTCGTGTTCTTGTTCATGTATTGCCACTAATTCGAAGCTCATTAGACGTGTTTGCTGTATAATGTGATCAAGTTTCTTCTGTACATTTCGATTTCTATTGCACTTTTTGCTGTTCTGTTAATCAGATTTCAATGAAATTTGGTGATTCTTTGCCTATTCACAGCCATCGAATGGGTTCCCGAAGAAAGGATTACGCTTTTCACTTCTGATGGGCTAATTCAGATTGGAGGCAACATGGTTCCCCGGCGTGTCAGTTCATCCGAAGTATGCATACTTCATTTCTCGCCACCCGTCTTCATTGTTGCATTTTCCTATGTTGCCTTGACTAAGCTGAAATGATCAAGACATAACTCTTTGTTTGTGTTCATCTAAGCGTTTTATAATGCAAGCTGAGATCCTTTACAAATTGAATCTGTTGTATTCTATGTACAGAAGAAACAACTGAGATCAAGGGCCCCAGAAAGATTTCAAAGATTTCAAGAAAGTGACTACATGGATACACACCAGGGTCTATGCCTTGGAGCTCTTTTCGACATTGCAGCAACAAATGTAAGGGAATTCTTCCTTGTGTCTGTTGAACTCATAGAATATTGCTCCTCGTTGTAGGGTCTGGTCTTATGCAATGCTCAATATGTTCGCCTCAGGGACTGGATACGGGGAGAAGGCTGTGTATTTTTGGGTTCTGCCGCTCTATCGAGATGCTCAGTGATGTTGTCGGAGACACTGTTTTAGAACACGGGGGCGAGGTATGGGTTTATGCTTTAACATTGGATATTCTCATAAGCATTTTTGAATTTGCTGGTTCCTATAAGGTTTTAGGACATGCCATTTTCGATTAAACAAAGCAATGTCAATAAAGTAGATATCTACCTCCATTTGCACACGAGAGAGGTTCATGGTGGTTTTCGGTTAGGTTTTAGGTGGATATTACTCTCTGTCAGTCCGTTGCACATTATTAAGACGGGTTTCGCGTCAGGTCAGATCCCCGAGCCTCCTAAGGGTCTGACTGGTTATCACGCAATAAAACATGGAAAATCAAAACGCAGTTTTCCACTTTGTGTATTGATAGCGATTTGTGGCATCAATCCGACACTCCACAACATTGTCGACATTGTGTATTGATAGCGATTTCGGTTAGGTTTTAGGTGTATATTCTTTCTCATGCCTTAACATTGTCAACCCGTCTTAAAAGATTGTAGCGGAGGAAAAGGAGATCAAAGGAGGATTACACGAAAAGCTAACGATGACGGTTTCGGTACCGTATCTATGGGGCGTCCCTCCGGCCTCGGAAACGCTTCATCTTGCCGTTCGAAGCGGTGGAGGCATCGTAGAGAAGGTTTACTGGCAGTGGGATTTCTTGTAAGTGAAAAAAAAGAAAAACCAAACTTCCTAACTCTCCACATATTTATCTCTCCCAACAATGTATATAACATTCATTCTATGAAACTGTACAGAACAGAACCATAACGTTATGTAACTTAGTCCCTCACTAAACCGGTCGGTTATCTATAGATTGTTCTGGTGGATCTCTCTTGTTTAATCAAATTTAGGGTTAAGAGGACCAATAGCGATGTATTGTGATTGTGACTATTCGGGTCGGGTCTTAAAAGGGTAATGGTTAGAAGAAGACCAAATGGATAACACATGCAAACGATCCAATTAGGGTTGGGTAAAAAATTATCCTATTTTCGGACATTTGATCCGATCCAAAAATTGAGTATTTCTTAGGTGTGATGAGACAGAACTGTTCGGTTCGTATTTGGGTTTTGTGGGTTTGAATGGGTAATCCCCGGATATCTAATATTTTGGTTATTAATCGAATAATTAAACAGAAATAAATAAAATATAAATATAATTGAATCGGATTTTATATAAAAACTGAAAAGTTATGACTTTTTTAAATCCGAAAAAATTGGATCGCAACCGAACCAAATAAAATAATAACCGAAAAATTAATTATTTTTTTTTAAAAACTGAAATTTTTTATCAATAGAAAACCGAATTCAAAGCGGACCAAATTAAATCGAAATTGATATAAATACCGAATTGCTATAGTTTTTTATAACCGAAATAACCAAACACAAATATAACTAAATTGAATCTAAATTGATATCCGAAATGACCACCCTATCCACAATCATGGAAATGCTATTAGGGTTTATGTTATATACGAAATTAATAATTATTATTTAGGGTTTGACCGATCTGTCATCTGTATTTTTCTCGCTTGAATTGTTTCATCAACTCGTATTAGCAAACATATAGATATCTGAATATTTGCATATTCAAAATTTAGATATTTGTCACACTCAAAATTGGATTCCAAATTTTAATTTTAACTGTTTAAGTTCAAAATTGGATATCTCAAATTTTTTATAGCTAACTTGTAAATCCGTGGACCACTTTTTATTATTACATATTATTGTTTTTATATATTATTTTGAGTTTTTATCGATTTACCCTTTTTTCCTCTTCTACTCGATTTCTTTATACCAATAAGTTTTCTATTTAAATTTACTTAGAAAAAAAAACAAAAACAATGAATCATTCATAATTAATTCATTTGTTTATATTATATTATTTTTGGCACAATGATAAACATCTTTTAACAATATGCTAACAACACCCCAAAACCATATTACATAACAAAAAGGCAATGTCGTATCTTTTGGCATTTTCCTCTCCACTACCCATTTACTCTCTCTCACACACACACATGACATGTACACATATATATATATATATATATGTACTTGTCTAAATCGTCGGTCGAAAAAACAAAAATCCGGGAGATGATAATATAAACATTTAGTTTCTCCATTAATCAAATGAATTACTATATACTTTATTCTATGTCGTTATTTCAATTTTATTCTTAGTCATCTTTGGTGCAATTTCCCGTGATGTGACTAAAAGTTTTGGTCGACAAAAGATATAGTCTTTGTAGCTTAATTTTATCATTTGAAAATAAAATTGGTTTACTGTTTAGAGAAATCGACACAACTTATTTCGAAGGGAAGGGAACATCGTTTTCAGAATTTTATCTTTTTAAAGTTATTTAAATTTTATAGACTTGATTAATAATAAAAATGGTACCATTAAATGCAGTGTTCCACTTTCAAACTCTTCATCGAAATCGAAATTAAAAAAAATAAAACCAACTAATGAAAACTACGTATAAAATCAATACGTTAATAATTTACGCTAATGAGATCATATTGCTGGGAACCACTTTGTTTGGTTCCCCCCAATAGGGGTTCTCAATATATATATATATATAACTATATATATATATATATATTCATTTGAAAATGCATAAACTCTTCCAACTTGCATTTGTTTAGTTCTTATTAAAGGAGATCCAATACTTTTCAAATCATAAACTTTCCGCTTGTTTGATTAGAATTTAAACAATGGATTATTACACCAATAATTGCATTATCACATCCACCATGCATCATCTATCATATTAACTATGAAATTTCTCAGATTATGCTCATTAGTCTAACTCTAATAATTTTTTTAATGTAAACCCGGTCTTGTTTAAAAACAATGCAATTTTTTGCATGCATGGGTGGTTTTTATAAAACCTCAAGAAAGTGTCCTCATTTTGACTAACAAAATATATTATTATTATTATTATTATTATTATTATTATTTTAGTGAAACAAAATACTGTAGGTTGTATCATATCAAAAAATCAAACTGTAGAAGAGTTTATATTGAATGATTTGATACCAATTTACATATACGGGAATAATTTATATTCCTAAAAAAAACTTTCCACTTTCAATAATTGAAGTGATTTTAAGTAACGACATACATATACGCCCAAAACAATAACAAAAATATATAATTCGCGAATTAATTTCCACGAAATAATGTAATTAATTATGACCTCCACGACCTAAGTCTAGAAATTAACATTCTTTGAAGGTGCCACCAGGAAGAGGAACAAAAGTCAATTCTAGAACTTAGTTTCTGTCAGTTGTTTAATGACATGTTGAAAAAGAAAATATAAAGAAATTGTTATTATCTCCGCTAATTTTTTAATGATTATTATTTTATTTTCTTGGAGCTAAGTTTTTTTTTTTGGGTGCGCTTTGCTCTTGGATGGTAATTTTTTTTTTACAAAAGTAATTATAATTTTTTGGATAAATTAGATTTGACAATTTATTTATTTTAAATTATATATAGCTACATGTGATTATGAAGATTACACTGGAATACAAGGACGATTAATGTGGAATTCCTTGTTGTGAAATATCATCAACTACCCCTCGTTTTACTATATGATTGGCTATTGTATTTTAATTAATCATAATATTAATTAGCTGTGGACTTGTAGCCATAAATATTTCATGTCATCCAAAGAAACAAAAACCAAAACACACTCTCTATGTGATATATATTACATTTGGAAAATAAAAATTGTTACAAAGTTAAGGGTATTGATGTTATATATTATTTAATGAAAAGAATAAAAGGCATTGATTGTAATGCAACTCAACTAGATTAAGAAAGTTCAACTAGAAATTTTTATCATTCAAATATAATTTCTGTAAATCAAAATTTTATATTTTCATAATCACCTAAAAAAATTACTTGTAACTGCTAATTAAAGAGACTAAGTAAAATATATACACAGCTTCTTAATGCCTATTGTGGAAATGGTCTAACAAATATACTGAATTTAATTATAAAATATGACTAATCTTAGTAGATTGTATTTCATTTATACAATATCTAATCCATAGGTCACATGCTTTTAGGGTTCCAAAACCATATTTATGTCAGGCATCTTTATATTATCCTAACTTTTTAATGAGTTAGAATTTCACCAATTCCTAACATCTTAGGGATAAAATCTAATTTAAAATATGTGGACGGTTGGAAAGAATATGGGGACCAATACGCTAAAATAAGGGGAGAAAACAAATTGGTGAAGTAAGAATCAGAATCAGAATCAGTAGTACAACATGAACATATCTTCTGTCTTGTTGTCATCAAACAAAAGCAAGTTGTTTTCATTACCACAACTGCTGCTTACCAGTTGCTTGATCTCCTCCAAGCCATAATCTTCAATCAATGGACTTAATGATCTCTCTTCATGATGATGATGATGATTGTGATTGTCATCATTATGATCCATGTTCTCAGCTCCTGTTATTGTACTTGTTGTACTTGACCCACTTCCATCACAGATCATAATCCCTCTGTTTGTACTTCGGTTTTCATGGTGGCCCATCATCGTTACATGATTGATGTTTCTGTTGTTGTATGGCGAGTTTATGAAACTGCCCATGTCTTGATGATGATGGTGGTGGCTCATTGTTGTCATCATCATCATCATGCTCATCATCGTGCCCTCATGAGGTGGGAGATAACTTGTTGAGTTGGATATTAGGAGGCTTGATATTGATGGGTACTGTGAAAGAGTAGTACTGATCATGTTATTGTAATGTGATGATGATGACGATGTTGATGACGACGATAGAGGCGATGCCGATGATGATGATGAAGACGTTGATGATAACGATGATGCTGGGGGAGGAGGAGGAGGAGCCATGGAGGCAATGAGCTTCTTCTTGAGCTTGGTGTTCCAATAGTTCTTGATGTCATTATCAGTCCTGCCATGCAAATGAGCTGCTATAACTGACCACCTGCAAAAACACCTTCCAATTAAATTCAATCTTTGGAGGAAGAAGATTCTGACGGAAATCAAACCCTTTTGGAGTTTGATTATCTAAACTTAAAGCATTTCCTCAAAAAGGAGACAATTATACTGCAGAAAAAAGCTATCAATCAAATAAACTAATGGAAAAAAGGAGATTTGAATCTTCCTTGAAACATGCAAAGTTGTCATCTTTTTTTTTTCCCCAATGGTTCCCACTTCCACTTCCACTTCTTGCCAATAATTTCACAGAGAACTGAAAAGATTTTTTTAAAAAAAAGTCCTGTCCTTTGCATCTCTGTTATGTCTTTGTAGAATTTGATCAGTTTCATTGTATATTTCTTAGGAGTAATTAAATTTGATTATAAATATAAACAACCTGCTTCCGATGCTAGCAAAAAGGCTGCAGATGATCCTGTCTTCTTCTTCAGTGAAATCTCCATGTCTGATGTTTGGTCTCAGATAGTTCAACCATCTCAGCCTGCAACTCTTCCCACATCTTTTGAGACCTTTCATGATTATTTTAACCCAAACCCAACATGAAAATCTGTCAGTACCCATCAAAGAAAAGTTTCCACAAAAACCCATGTGTGTATATATGTGTATATAGTTTTTAGTCAAGAAACCACAAGGCAGACATCATGGAAGAAAACTCCAAGAAAACATCATACATGTATGTTTGTCATAGACAAGAACCCATTAATTAAAAGATCATGAAACAAAGTTTCAAGATAACATATATAGGTATATATATATATTTATATGTATGTATGTAACTGTGTTGTTTATGTATATGTTTTTAAAAAAAAAACAGGTTACCAGCTTTCTGAGGGAGAGCAATCCAATTGCCACCTGTTCCATGTTTCTCTATGTACTCTTTAAGCTTTGCATCTTCTTCAGGACACCATGGCCCTTTCTTCACGTTGGCTTTGTCACAACATGGAGCTCTCCCCATCTCTCTCTCTCTCTCTCTCTCTCTCTCTCTCTCTCTCTCTCTCTCTCTCTCTGTGACGTTCCTTATCTATATGTTTGTTTTGAGGAGAGTGACGAATACTGAGAGAGGTGGGTTTTGGTTTTCAAAGAGAGAAAACAATAACCAAAGTGTGTCCTCTGGTTCTGTGAACACACAGAGATATTGACGTATTTATTGAGAGATCTATGGAAACGAGCAAGTCAATGATCAATCTTTTTTTATATATATTTCATATTATTTGTTTTCTATTTTCTTTCCTTTTTTTACATCTTCCTCTCTTTCCATCTCTATCTCTCTCTACATGTGGATTAGCTTGATCAATATGATATGTATACTTGCATATGCATGTATGTATTCGTCAAGAAGTTTCCTTTCCTCAGGCCAATTTTATATTGTTTATATTACATGTAAAAATTTATGTTTTTTTTTTATTTTATTTTGTTTAGCGGTTAAAAGATAAATGTTAAAGACTGCAAGCGTTTTCTTTCTTTTTATTACGCATTAATTGCTGCACTTGTGACATCGCTGATGTTCTTGAAAAAGAACGGGATGAGGACAGATTGTTCGAATTCTTGCTTGGACTCGATGATTCCAGATATGCCACTGTAAGGTCGAGTTTGCTATCTCGCCATCCTCTTCCATCTCTTGAGGAGGCTTACAACACAGTCTCTCAAGACGAAGCAGCTAAGCATGTTACTCAGACGTTTGAAACCAAACCTGATGCCTCTGTTTTCTTGGTTCGGTCCTCTGCGAAATTTCGCAGCAAACCCGATGCCAAGGATCCCACTATACTATGTACCCACTGCAATAGAACTGGCCATTTGGCCGAAAATTGTTTCAAGGTTATTGGGTATCCGGACTGGTGGGGCGATCGCCCGCGAACTCGTTCTGGTGCATCTCGTGGCAGAGGATCTGCGACATCTGATCGATCTCAAGGTCCTCTGGCTCGGGCAAATATGGCGCATGTTACAGCATCGACACCCGTGGTTCAATTGAGTGCTGCAGACAGAAACCTCGTTGCGGGCATTACACAAGAACAGTGGGATAGCTTGATCACCATGCTCGGCAAAACGACCGCCAGTCGTTTCGATACTGTTTCTGGTACGTTCTCACCTTCTTCATGGATACTTGATACTGGTTGTTCCCAGCATATGACAGGAGAATTTAGGTCTCTGACGGATATCTCCTCAACACTACCATGCTCGGTCATTCTTCCTGATAATAGATCAGTTGTTTCTACTTACAGTGGTTCAGTAATCTTGAGTCCTACTCTGCGTCTCACAAATGTTCTGTATGTTCCCGGCCTGCACTGCCAATTGGTTTCTATCGGTCAGATGATGACTGAAATTGATTGCTTCGTGACTTTTGCCCCGTCATTCTGTGTGATTCAGGACCGGAATACCAAGACGGTGATTGGAGCGGGTGAGCAACGTGCAGGTCTATATTACTATCGGGCAGTGGCAATCTCGGCAGCAGCTAAGAAAAGGGATTTTCAGTCAAGTGATGTTTGGCATAAGCGACTGGGTCATCCCTCTCCGAAAGCACTGTTGAAGATTCCAGCTCTTGATATTTCAGCAATTTCTTCTTCTGTTTCCGAGTTATGTGATGTTTGTTTACGGGCAAAACACGCGAACCTTTTCCATTAAGTAAAAATAAAGCATCTGCTATTTTTGAGTTAGTTCACTGTGATATTTGGGGACCGTATCGTTCTCCCTCTTTCTCCGGAGCAAGATACTTCTTGACTATTGTCGATGATTTTTCCCGCGGCACTTGGGTTTTCCTGATGCTCGGAAAATACGAAACTCAAGCCAAAATCCGTGATTTTATTGCTCTTGTTGAAAGACAATTCACTGCCACTGTCAAAACATTGCGCACAGACAATGGAGCTGAGTTTATCAGCCTGCGTCCCTACCTGTCATCAAAGGGAATAATACACGAGACATCGTGTGTTGGCACGCCACAGCAAAATGGTCGGGTCGAAAGAAAACACCGTCACCTACTCAACATTGCCCGGGCCTTGCTTTTCCAGGCACATCTACCTATTGATTTCTGGGGAGAAAGTGTCTTGACTGCAGCTTATCTTATCAACCGAACACCATCTTCAGCCCTTGCAAATCGAACCTCATATGAAATTCTGTATGGAACCTGCCCAGATTACAGCAATCTGCGTGTCTTTGGAGCATTGTGTTACGCTCACCATCAAGATCGAACTCATGATAAGTTCTCTCCTCGCAGTTCTCGGTGCATTTTTCTTGGTTACCCATATGGTCAAAAAGGCTGGAGACTTTATAACCTTGAGACAAAGAAGGTTTTTGTCTCAAGAGATGTAGTGTTCTTCGAAACCCAGTTTCCGTTTTCTGAAATGTCAGCGCAGAATTTACCAGCTACAAGCCCATCCCCTTCTTCTTCTTGGAACAATTCCTATGATGATGATGCTGAGTTTCACTTCGCCCATACTCCCCGCCAGGATTCATTTCCATCTGCCGCTGTTGATGTTCCAGTCATGGAGGAACCACAATCTGAGATTGTTGCCTCTGGGTCATCATCGTCTCCAGCATCATCTTCTTCCCCATTAGTGGTCACTGATCCGGTTACCGCTCATCAATCTGAAACGCCTGCTGAAGCTGGAAATAATCTTGGAAGAGGGCATCGACAAAAATTCCAGAACACTCTTTTGAAAGACTTTGTCACTAATTCTGTTTCGGTTGTGTCAGGTATGCCATTTCCACTCGAGAATTATATCTCCTATGACCGAATTCTTCCACATCACAAAGCTTTTGTTGCTACTGTCACCGAAGAATCTGACCCTCGATCATACTCTGAAGCATCTCGCGATTCTCGTTGGCGAAAAGCTATGTCCGATGAACTCTCTGCCTTAGAGCAAAATCGGACATGGACAATGGAGACTCTACCACCAGACAAAAGGGCAATTGGATCAAAATGGGTTTTCCGCACGAAATACAAATCTGATGGTAGCATCGAACGTCACAAAGCCCGACTCGTCATTTTGGGAAATCGACAAAAAGAAGGAGTGGATTACGATGACACCTTTGCTCCTGTAGCAAAGATGGTTACAGTCCGAACATATCTCGCTGTCGCAGCGGCTCGAAAATGGGACGTTCATCAAATGGACGTATATAATGCGTTTCTTCACGGCGATCTTTCCGAAGAAGTGTACATGAAACCACCTCCTGGGTTTTCAGTCTCGAATCCGAAGTTGGTATGTCGGCTGCGAAAATCGCTCTATGGCCTCAAGCAAGCACCACGGTGTTGGTTCGCCAAGCTCGCTGCGGCTCTTACAAAGTACGGTTTCGTTCAAACTGAATCCGACCACTCGTTATTTATTCTGAAACAGGGTACCACCCGTCTCCACGTGCTTGTCTACGTCGATGATTTGTTGATCACGGGAAGTTGTGCTCAAGCTATGACAAATTTTAAACTCTATCTCAGTCACTGTTTCAGAATGAAGAACCTTGGCAGCTTGAAATATTTTCTCGGCATTGAGGTGGCGCGAAATTCATCTGGTTTCTCTCTATGCCAAAGAAAATACACACTTGATCTCATTGCAGAAGCTGGGTTATTGGCTGCAAAACCTGCATTATTCCCGTTAGAGCAGAACCACCGATTGGGCATCTCCGACAGTGAAATCTTGCCAGATCCAGAACCGTTTAGACGTCTCATTGGCAAGCTTCTGTACCTCCTAGCCACTCGTCCGGATATTACATATGCGGTACACACTCTCTCTCAGTTTATGCAGACCCCACGCAGAGATCATTGGCTGGCGGCTCTACGGGTAATTCGGTATCTCAAGTTGAATCCCGGACAGGGGATTCTCCTACGATCCGATTCTGACTTACGTCTATATGGCTGGTGTGATTCTGATTGGGCCGGTGACCCACGTTCTCGACGATCCCTCTCTGGTTATATCATCCAGCTCGGAAATTCCCCGATCTCATGGCGTTCCAAGAAGCAACCGACGGTAGCTCTCTCTTCAGCCGAAGCCGAATACAGGGCAATGCAGATTGCTACTTGCGAACTCGTCTGGCTAAAATCCCTGCTCATTTCGCTCGGTGTTCGACATCCTGATCCTATGGTCCTCCACTGTGATTCTCAAGCTGCGTTACACATCGCTGCGAACGATGTATTCCACGATCGAACAAAACACATCGAAGTCAGCTGTCATTTTCTGCGACAATTTATTAAATCTGGCCAGATTTCGACACGTCATGTTTCATCTGCCTCTCAGCTGGCTGACATCTTTACGAAGGCACTCGGCCAACGAGAGTTCACGGTTTTCCTCTCCAAGTTGGGCATCCATAACATCTATGCTCCAACTTGAGGGGGG